GTGAATTAATTAGGAATATCTGATACAATCTCCATAATTGTAGAGGATAAGGTCACTTCACAAATAAAGAGCCTGAGTAAGACTACTGAAAAGATGTCAGATCTCTCAAGATTAACACATTAAACTCAACTGCAATTTTAATTGAAATTGAAATACCAATAGGACATTTTTTTTTTTTTAATATTTGATGTGACAAAATTATTCTAAAATATACCCGGGAGAGGGGAACTATCAGAGTATCCAAGAAATAAGCTTTAAATAATAAAATGAAGATGAAAGTAGTAACAAGCAGAGAGAATTCGTTGGAGTTATTAAACCATATTATAAAACAAATAACTGAAACTGTAGTAGAAGTCTAAGAATAAAAAGATGAATAGAACAAAATATGAAGTTTAGAAACAAATTCAAATACATATAAAACATGGTTTATGAAAGAAAGGGTCTCATGTCAAATAATAGTGAATTATTTAGGGGCTACGCTAAATATAAAAGGAGGGTGTTAACGTCTTTCCTCATGACAGAGACCAAATTAAATTCCAGATGTACTCAAGAACTAAATATGAGTAGTAACACCATTTTAAAAATCTGGTGGAAAAAATTATCAACATTTTTCTGATCTTGGGGCATAATAGTTATGAATAAGTAAATATTTTATAAGTAGAACCAATAAAATGCAATACTGATAGATTTGACTACCTATAAAGCAAACTTCTTAATGCCAAAAATGCCTTCAACAAAATTTGAAACTTAATTAAAATTAAAACATAATTTAAAAATTAAAAGTGGAAAACTCACACATGCAAATAGTAATGTAATAGAAATTCATGGCAAGAAAAAAATTTTTCTTTAGTTATACAGCACTTAGAAATCAGCAATAAAAACAACAAAAATAAAGACCTAAAAATATGTTCAATAAAATGTTATAAATAATATAATAAAACAGACAATTCAGAGAAGAAAAACATGACTGAATAGCAACTGCATTCTTACACTTCTTAATAAAATACTTAGATATAGGTAACAAAATACTGCATTTTGCCTACCACACTGGCAATTATTGAAACTAAGTGTGCCAGTTATTGTGCAAGGAAATGAGAGGCTTAATCTATTACTGGTAAAAGGTATAAATATTTCTTACTTTCTAGGAGGACAAAATGACAAAATGTATCCAAAGTCTTAAATATGTGCATACTCTTTTAATCACAAACTCCTCTGAGAAAATTAAAGACATTTTCTAAGATTTATGGAGTGGATATTAATCGCATGTTATTTATAGTTCAAAAATGGAAAACAATAAAAAGATTAAAGTAAATATTATAAAGCTACTTAAAATGATGCCACAGAATAATAGTGGTATGAAAAAAAGTTCATAATATATGGCTAAGTGTAAAAAGCATATTTTAAAAAAAATATGGTTTTCACTTTGTAAAAGCACACACACATGCACACATGTGTGCACACAAACACACAACTAACTAGGAGATTATACCTCAAAATGCTACCAGTTATTACCATCGAATGGTGGGATTACAAGTAATTTTCATTTTCTTTCCCAAGCTTTTATGTGTTTATAAAAGATGAAGAATTTTATGTAGATTTAAGATGATGACTTTTTTTCATTGAGGAAAATGTTATTAAAATAGTAAAGATAAAGAGTAAGGTAATTAAAATGGAATGAAGTATTTTAGCTATGTCTCTAAAGAGGTGTTTCTTTTCAAGACCAAAAGATATTCTTACAGTTTTTGAACTATATCCTTCTTAAATTCAAGCACCAAGACACAGTTGGGTAGAAAAAGTTGCTGCCAATCTTTGATTTTAATTTAGTTGCTGGAAATCTGCACTTGAACACCTGGGAAAACAGACAACTGTGTATTAGTGGATTTACTTTGTCTTGTGTACTATGCCTAAGTTGCTTCTGTTTAGCTATTGGAAAGTTACTGGTAGGAGCAGAGGGAGGTTTAGAATTTAACAATGTCAACAGTATTTTTAAAAATTCTCTGCTTTATCTTCCCCCAAGGAGATGAGGAAAAAAAAACCCCAAAAACGAAACCTTGGCGGCTCCAGGGCATTTTCTATAACTAGACATATATAACTCTCCTGGAATGGAATGGATATTTAATCCATTTTCCTTTCCTGTGCTATTTTAGTCTACTGTAGCATCCAACTCTTAAAGCATTTCTACAGCTAGTTGTCAGCAATGGCACCGGACTTACACTGGCCTAGAAATGGCCTGTGGGGTGGTGAAGCAATGGCCCTCAGCTCCCAATCACTCCTCCACTTAGAAACAGATCAAGAAATATCCCCAGAGGTCCTAGGATTCTTTGCGAGCCATGTGATCTGGGGCAGGCCACTTAACCTCTGCAAGCCTCAATTCCTCATCTGAAAAAGAGGGATAGTAATGCCAAACTTACCAAGTTCCAATAAGGAATAAATTTTACAAAAAGGGTAAAAATGGATTGGGGGAAAAGCCATACAAATGTTCTGCCATTTCGGTGCCACACTGAAAAAGCCATTGGTTCCAGCAGAATGAGATTTGAGTCTTCATTGGGGTGAGATGTTGCCAGCACTCTCAGGGGTTAGACAGTTGTGGGGTGACCTTTCTGCTTGATGATTGCAGCCACTGAATGGTGTTGACAAAGGGCATAGGAAAAGAATGCTTCTTACCAAAACCAAACTCCAAGTAAATTGAGAAGAAGAGCAATCCATGCCTCTGGTCTAATCCTTTAAAATCTTCTCTTTCAGAGAAATCATTTATGGCAGAAAAGTTTAAGTCAATTATTTTATTCTCAACTGTACCACAAGAAAAATGTTGTGTTTTTCCATCAGCCATTTTCCTGGTAATTCTTTCTCCTCTCTCATTTGACCTCTTGTTGTGGGTGTTACCTGAAATTCTGCCCTCCCTCCTCCCCGTGTTCACTTCACTATTAACTTACTCCACCCCTTTATACTTGTGCAGAGCAAACAGCAGTCCTAGTTAACGTGAGATGCTCATAATCATCTCCACCAAAGAAAAGTAAGAAAAGTAAGAGTGTGTGTCTGGGGGGGGGTTGCTTTAAGGAGATGTTCTAGGGAGTTGCCCATTTGGGAGACTGCCTCTATCACTTCAGGAGGTTTTTTAACAAATGTATGATCAATGGATCCAAAATACTAAATCTCTCAGATTATTAAAATTATCTGCTATTAATGAAAACAAAAGGCAAATCCTACAGGAACATGTTCACAGTGTTCCAAATGGCTACTACCAAAAAATACACCCTTTCTTACTCCAAATGCTTTCTTTCACTGACATTTTTCCAAAGAAAGGAGAAGAATCAAAATTCAGCCATCTGTTTTGTCCAAATACATTTAAACCCAGCAACATTTATTAAACATTTATTAGACACACAGCATGGGCCTAGTCAATACAGTGGATGTGTAAGGACTAGGGCTCAAAACATAGGCTTTGGTGTTTGGTTTTCAATGTGGTTTCCATCACTGACTAGAGTTGCTGTAACAAATGACCACAAACTGGGTGGCTTCAAACAACATAAATTATTCTCTCACACTTCTGGAGGCCAGAAATCTGAAGTCAAGATATCAGCAGGGTTGGTTGCTTCTGGAGGCTGAGGAGAAATCCATTCCATGCCTTTCTCCTAGCTTCTGGTGGTAGCCAGCAATCTTTGATGTTGCTGGTTTTGTAGACATGTCACTCCAGTCTCCGCCTCCATCTTCATATGGCCATCTCTGCGTGTGTCACAAATCTTCCTCTGCTTTCTTCCATCAGAAGACCTATCATTGGATTTAGGGCCCACCCTAAATCCAGGATGACCTCATCTCAAGATCCTTACCTTAATGATATCTGCAAAGACCCTATTTCTAAGTAAGGTCACATTCACAAGGACTGGGGGTTAGGGCGTGAACATGTCCTTTGGGGACCACTATTCAACCCACTATATCGGCTGTCACCTTGGGCAAGTTATATAAACTTTAAGCCTACATTCTCTTGACAATAAAGTGAGAATACTCACTATAACACTGTAGAATAATAATCAAGATTAAATAAGGTAATGTTTATGAACTGTTTAGTGTATTGCTTAGTTAAGAGTAAACACTCAGTAATTATTGGCTGCTGAAGTTACAAGTAGTGCCATCATTTCACTACTAAGCACCCTGCGGGATTCAGAAATGACAAAGCACAAATCTTTCTCCCTAGAGTCTTATAAACTGAGAAGGGTGGATGCACATTGATTCCAGACCTTGCTTTGACTGGCTTTTTGTAAGTCACAAAGTCCTCGATATTATTAAACACACAGTTGCCTCAGCCCCCTGAGATTACAGCGGGCAGACTATAGGTTGATTCCTCAGGTGTCGATATGAAGACTGGCCTCTTTTTCTTTCCAAATCACCATGGTCTCCCATTCTATCTTCTAGAACCTCCCAAGGGCATAGCAAGTAAAAAAGATGTTCTTCTGGGATTTGAGAGGATGCTCGTTCTGAAGTTTTCCACACTGACAAATGAAGCATCATTTAAAACCCCTGGTCAGAAAGGCCACCTATGTGACACTCTGCAGAGACAGCCACAAGCAAAAACTCTCCAATAATCCAATAAACTCCTCGCTGTGGTTTCCTATTGCTCCTTTATAATTTGGCATATTGGAATGCATGCAGGTGCAATCTAAAGACTATATGCACAACTTATTCTTCTCACAATGTCAGCCACCACCAATAGAACTCAGCATTGTCACAAAATGAAAAGAAATTTCAAAGGAATCAGTTGGCAACACATGGAATATTAATGAATAGAATATCCATCAGAGTTAGGCATTCAGAAACACACACACACACACACACACACACACAGATGAGAAGAACTGAGTGCAACAAAAACTTCTCACAGTACCATGGCTCTCAGTTACTGAAAAAAACCCCTGTGATTATTTTCAGTTGAATTTCCAACTTAGTTTTATAGTTTGTTTGTTTACCTATGGAACACAAATGCCTAGCGGAAAAGTACAAGTTTCACCCAAATCATTTAATGAGATATACATCCCCAAATAACTGGTTGGTAAGAGAGTCCCAAACCTTCGTTCCATTTACTTAGTAGTTTCACATATTTAGTCAAAATAGTCAAACAGATTTGTGTATAGACATGACCATTAACATATATGTTAGTTAATTTTAATCCAAACCTTTAAGGATGAATTTAAATGAACCCTAATGAAAAGGGTAATAATACCAGTTTAACAAAACAAGGAGTATGAACTGGGTAGGGAGGAAGTTTTCTGTGTGTTTAATTCTTAAGCAACAAGAACAGAAGTGAACAAACATCTAAGAAGACCATGCTGATGCACTGTGAGCTTTTTAAAATTTTATAGTAAAAGATCTTAGGAAGAAAAGAAAAATATTGTAATGCCTAAGATCCAAGGATGTGAAGAGAAGATCATAAACCATTGCTTTGTTCAGGTTTAGATACATCACTTTTTGTGTGTGAAGTCTGCTCTATTTGGAGCTGACAGGGTGAATTAAGGGGCCTACTGGTCTGGTGGTTACATGACCCTATGCAAAATGCAGATGGCAAAAGAAATCATTCCCCATATGCCCTGACTTGGATCATCCTCTGTGCTCTCTGCAGAAAGGGATTACTCTATCCAACTCTGTGGTCAGTGGTAAAATTGTTTGTTGAGCTATCCCAAAGTACAGAGCCTGGCCTATTGATGAATTGATGACTCAAGGGGTTAAACACACTATTTGGTGTTTTCTTGCCAGGGAAAAGAAAATTAATGCTGAATTCAGATGGGCACATTATGGAAACTGAAATCTAAGATGGTAATAGAATGAGTAACTCCAACCCTGGAGTGACAGAATCATGAAATACAAGAAGAAATGACATTCTGGGAATCCAACTACACAGCCAGAAATGGACTTGTCACAACTTATATGTGTGAGGCCAACCTTCGCCCTGGTGCTTAAGGAGAAAGAAAACCTTGGCTATATGTTCCCTTTTGGAAAGTCACCCCAGCTTCACAGACATAGTTGTCCACTACTAAATCTTTTTGTAGAAAATAAAGCAGAAAAGGATCACTGCACTGACTTCTAATTAAATGCTAAATGCATACCCAGAACCAAACAAAGTTGCATGCAGCATTTAAAACATTCAAAAAACAAACACTAAGCCATTTAACATACTTTTTCAAGGTGTTGGCCTTTTGGAAATCTTAGGGAATGTTATTATGAAAATCCAAATCAGAAGCATATGTAGCATCCACCTTTTTTTTTTTTACCAGACTCAGAAGATGCCCAGAATCTTTGAAGAGCACAATAGCAGAGAGGACTGGGCAGTGGAATGCAAAATGAAGTGGTTCTGCTCATTCATGGGTCTGGGGTCTGTGAAAAGGGCAGAAGATGATAGATGATGAAGGCACCAACTTTCTTCTCTGTCTTATCACATCCAAACTACCTGCTAGGTTTTAAGTTTGGTGTACAAACATCAATTTCGTTCTCCAGGAAATTCTGCCATCAGGAGCACTCCACACCTCCACTTGGAACTTCAGAAGATCACAGGTTTGCCACAGATACTTTAAATATCCCAAAAGGTGTAATGTCTTAGAAGTGCAAAGTCTAGGCTACCATGTATCAGTCTATTTCTCACATCCAGTTTCACCAGAGAGTCCTATTGACCTTTCCCCCATCATTTCCAAGATGAGTAAAGTTGGAGAAAATTATTCCTTTGGGGGCCCTGGAAAATTAAGGAAAAAAAATAATTAGAAGTTAAGTGAAATATCTGTAGAAAGGATAAAGGACATGAAGTACTTCACTACCAGAGATTTAAACTTTTCCAGAGATCAGTAGATCCCCAAATGAAATCCAAATCCAAGGCTACTTGACAATTCCATTTTAAAAATGTGATGACGGTTTACATCTTTGTCCACACTGAACATATGCCTTTTTGTTTCAAGGACTTTTTAGAAGAGAAGAGTGACACAAAATGCAACACCGACAAGGAATGAAAATTGCTTTGGACACTGCACTTTGGACATCCAAACCCAAGAGATGCCAGGCTCTGACACTCCATATTTCTTTCTTTGATCTGACTCTTCAAACGCAATCCATGTACTGGCAAATTTCCCTAGTGTCCCTGGTAAGCTTCAAAGTAAACCACTCGTTGGCCCCAGTATCTCTGCATTGGCTTTCCCCCATTGTTTTTATGTATGAAAAAGAAAGGAAAAAAAAGAAAAGAAAACGCAGTGGGCATTTTACATGTGGTTTTCATATTGTCCCTTAATCATTCAGTTTGAAAGTAAATGGAAGAGGAATGAGAAGTTAAAGTACTTGGGTTGGGGTGAGAGCTTCAGACTCCTAGAAGCCAACATTAATGTGTAGAGCATTTAATATAGTTCTGGAACATCTGCAGGGCAGCTGTCTTATGTAGACCTGGTTCACAATAACCTTTCATTACATGTCACCACAGAATGAGAAACAGACATGTGGGTGTTGGTGGTGTGTGTGTGTGTGCGCACGTGCATGTGCATGCATACGCGCATGTGTAATTTGTAGGAAATCTAACTGATGTGGTTTAAAATGAAAACAATGACAAGTAATTTGAACCTGTTTTAAAAATATGGTTGTGAATACTCACCAGGGATATGCTGAGTAATTGAACTAATGACTCAAGAATGTTGTTTTTTTCTATATACGTTGAAAAACAGAAACTCAGTCGATTGTCTTTAAGGCAACATAAAAGAACGACATGATTCAAGTATTCAACCAAGTTGGAAAAGCTCAGCTTACCAGAAGGAGGAGCCTTTCTGCATGCCTGCTTAGGGTCACATGGAACATGTCAACACCTTTTCTCTTCCTCAGTCTTGTTCTCATTGTGAGCAGAGGCTCTCCACTCAAGAGTATATCTTGTGCTTTCATCCCTAAGTTCAAGTTGGTAGCCATTGAACTTGGCCACTTTTCCTGGTTCTTTCTTGCTGATCACATGGCAAAGACAGTGCCCCATACACCCACCCTCTGCTTTTAGAATGATCAGAACCTTTCTTTAACTGTGTTCTGTGGACATTTTCTGTGAGAGTTCATTCTTATTCTGTAAGAAGAGAATATCATAGTCTGAGAAGTGTGGGAAATACCATATGAAACAAGATTCCTTACTATGGGACTTCTCAAAGTCTTTAATTTCCCAATGCATGTTATGCATCCAGGAGGGATAAAGCAGGTTTGGTCCAGTTGGATCTCTCCCTGGGGGTCAGACAACACTTTTAAAACTCATAAAATCATCTTGTGCTTATTTTTTCCTACCACTCAAAATATTTGAAAGTTTGAGTCAGCCCTTCATAATGATAGGGCAGTGAATTTTATTCACCTCTGTAAAGCATCCTTCATCCTCTACTTAAAGGACATTATGGAAAAAATGAGAAGAAAGCAGTTCACCTACTTTTGAGGAATCTGAAATACGAATCCTTGATCCATTTCTGAAAATGTGCAATTCATTGCTATTTTGTTCATGATGATTCTTTTGGAGATTATTGTTATTTTTCTTTTGTTCTTTTTTTTATTCAACTGCTATTACTTGCTGTTATTAAAAAGTAAGAAAAATGTCTTTTGAAGGCTTCTCATTATCAGCTATATCAAGAATGGCAGGGCATACCTAAGCAATGTCACCAAAATAAAAAGGAGAGATACAAATTTACTAAATACTTAGACTATGAGTCAATCAGGATTTGAGTGCCTTGAGTTGAACCAAGCAGGAGTGGAAATGACTAAAATTGAGGACATCAGGCTACTGATAGTAAATTACAGCTGGAAGTGAAATTAAACTCTTAAATTTAAGGTTTTTAACATTTGTTTTTGAGTGTGTGTGTGTGTGTGTGTGTGTGTGTGTGTGCGTGCTATTGTGTAAAGGGCATAGGTTCGGAGGTAAGGCTTTCAGTGGATAAAGCACCAAACAAGCTGGAAAATTTTAGTAAAAGAAATGGAGAGTGGAAAGTGCATCCAGATGGAAAAATAGAAAATTAAAATTAAATTTAAAAACAACCTAAGGGATCCAAAGGTCTGCAAAAGGAATATTCTATGACTGGAGAACATGTTTAAGACATACGTAACTTCATCACTATGCAGATTGTACAATATTTCTTATGCAGCCCAATAAATGTGCCCAAAGATAGCATTTTAAGCTACACAGAAAATACCAAAGCCCAGACATATTTCAATGCCAGTCCCTGGGCAGGCTGGCCTTATGGCAAGATATTCTGGAATACCTGGTTGGCTGGCAGACTTTCCTTGACTGCAGGATTTTGGATCTCTTCAAACATTTATTTCAGCTTCTCTGATCCTTTCATACGGTAAAGAAGCAATCACAGAATACTGGCTTTATTTTTTGAAGCACTGGTTTTGATCCACCTCAGAGGAAATGGGGTGGGGGGGGAGTAATGGGAGGAGGGAAGGAGAATAATGTGTTTCACAGCTTCAAATCAAACTCTTGGAAAAATGTCCAGAAAGCAATTCAAAATGAAAATATTTATTTTCTGGCTAAATAGCCAGTAGCTCTTTATTGCAAAATGGAAACAAACAGTGATGCTCATTTTACTAAAAAAGGGCAATCTACAAATAACCCAAATCCCAAAATAAAGGTATTGCCCAACAGCCTAGGACATGATTCACTAAGGTCTTGACTTCAGTTTCCTCAATGGTTACGGCACATAGATTGGAGTGGGCTGGGGTTGTGGTTGATAAAGAGTCTCAGATATTCTGAGTCTACACCATAGAAGGCCATGGCCAGTAGATCTGTGCCTTTCACTTTGTTTATTGGACAGATTCCCTCTCTCCCTTATAGTACCCTAGGATGCTAAAACCCATGTGCAAACCATGTACAGTGACAATAACAGCAGAAAGTCACTGGGTCAGTTCCTATGAAACTGTTCTGTTTAACGGCCAAGAGCTTACAAAAAGAAGACAGAGTGACAAATAAATACAAAGTCAATAAGATTTACAATAAGGAGATAGGAGTTGTCCAAGAGAAAGATAGGAATGATAATAGTATTCACTCATTCATTCATTTGATGATGTGTTGAATACCTACTGCACTGAGTACTGCAAATACAAAAAGAAGTAAAAAGTGATCACTTGGTGAGGAAGAAAGGAGTCAACAGATAGATTATTCAAAATGCTCATGTGTAAACACTGATACCTTACATCCAAATAGCAATTTAAAGGTTTCAGAGCCTTTCAGCCATATTGTCTCACTTGGTCCTTCAGATATAAATCAGGCAGGCAATATATGAGAATACAAAGTCAGAAAGGTTAAATTTCTTTCCAAACCTTTGCTGGTAGGGATGAGAATTGAAATTGAGCACTGGTCTTTTTTAACACCCTCTATCTGTGTAGAAAACTAAAAGTAGGTTAGTAAGAAGTCTTTTCAAGTTTAACCACTCCAGAAATAGCTGTCTCTCTAGATCCCATTATCTATAAGTTCTCTCTTGTCCATAAAGCTAAGCTGTAATGAATGGAATGATCCCAGACTATCTTAACTATACACTGGATGAAAGACTTTCTCAGAGCAAGCATATTGCCATGAGGAATTGGTCACAGTGAGTAGTATTAAAAATCCCATAAAGAATTCAGAAATCTAAATCATGAATGCTGTCCATTAATCCATCCACTGAAGTCATATTTACTTTATGTTCCAAGTACTCTTCCAGGCACAAGGGCTACAAAGTGATGAAGAAGATAGTCAAACTGTCTACTTCCATGAGGAGGAAACAATAATCAAGGCAACAAATGAGTAAGGTAGTTGCCATTACTGTAAGTGTTTTGAAAGAGAATATACTGAGGTGATATGATGAAAAGTGGGGGTGGGGAGGGCAGGATGTTAGATCAGATGGTGAGGGAAGGCCTCGCTGAGAAACTGACATTTGAGCTGAGATATGAAGCTTCCAGCCTATAATCTGGGACAGAGCACTTTAGCCAGAAGGGGTAGCAAGGGCAAAGTCTGAGACTGGGAATGAGCTGAACATACCGCATGGCAAACAAGGGGTATCCGGTCCAAGACAAGGTTAGAGGCCAGCTCTGCTAGGGCCCTGATGACTGTGGTAAACAGATGGGATTCTTCCTAAGTGCAATGGGAATCCATTAGAGAATTTTAATTAGAGGAATAAAGTTATCTAATTTCAGCAAGTTCATTGTGCTATGAATCCCAGAACCTCCAAATATAGGAAAAGATGCTCTTTAGGAAGCAGCTGGCTTATTATCTGCCTGATAAATGGAAATGTGTCTGAATAACTTGCACAAGCAAGGGGGGATGTTCACAGGTGCCACTCTGATGATAGAGCCTTGCTATTTATTTGTGGATCCCGGAGGTTTACAGTGTGGTCCTTGTATAAAAGATTTCAGGCAACTGTGGAGATTAAGTCTAAGGGTAGCCATCCGGGGCTCAGTCTGGCATTTATCACAGTCACAGTTACAGAGGCAAATTTATGAAGCTAAGTTAACACACAGCAGGAGCATCCAGGCATTGTTGCTGGAATCGCCTCTTCCATGTTGTCTCCCAGGAAACAGCTTCGGTGACCCAATCCTTTTCTCCATTTCTAATTTCCGCCATCGATGGCTAGTGATTATCTAAATGGGATTTCTCAAGTATGTCTTCAGTGTATTGAGGATGAAATAGCAGGCATAAAGCATTTTTTAAGCATGAACTACCTTCTGTATAATAATCAACTATCTCACTCATTCAGCCTGTCA